TTAAAATTCCGAGTTCAACCAGCTAAAAAGCCATTTGCGCTTTTATATTTTTAATTCCGAGCCGGGCGGGGTTTGCCCCCCTCCCTCCGAGCTGGGTGAAACCACAAAAAAATCAAAATACAGCGAGCAAAAAAGGGATTTAACGCTCCAGAAATTCGTTGTCTCGCCGATATTCGGGGCAGAGTAAAAAATAAACGAATTTTCGCCGCTAACGGCCGCGATCGGAACCGTAAATTAAAGCGATTTTCGCAACTCCGGGCAAAGGGGGAGCAGCACAAAATGGGATTGCTCCATAAAAAGCGGCAATGAGCCGATATTTCTTATTCCAGGCGGCGGCGATGGGTTTCATTTCGGTAATTTCGGTCATTCCGGCGCGAGGATCATTCCGGGATCATTTAAATTTAAATCCCCCCATAAAAAAACAGCAACAAAAAGAAAAAAAAAAGCGAAAAAAATCGAATTTTTCTAATTTTTTTCGCCGCGCCGCTAAGTGGGTGTGAGCTGGAGACGATGAGAAAATCAACATTTCCCCCTAAAACAAAAAGTAATTCCATCATTTAGCGCGGCGGAGATAAATGTCAGGGCGGGAGCAAAACGCGGCGGATTTGGGGTCTCAAGATGACAAATGCGCCACAAAAAGCGCTTTTTTCGGGCTTTATTATTATTATTATTATTTTGATGAGCTCTCCGTCTCTTCCCTGCCGAGCACTGTGCGGATAATTTTAATTCCTTTTTTTTTGAAGAGACAAAGCAGAATATCTTTAATTTTCCCCCGTTTTTTACGGTTTTTGATGGTTTTTATGGTTCCTCCTTTCATCCCCCCCGTGATGAAGGGAGGGGAAATCTCCTTGTAGGAAAAACGCGACAATTATTCCCCAAAAATCCCATTTTTTAGCACAAACCGCGCATGTATGGCTGATGAACCCCCTCACCTTCCCCGCCTGCCTCCCACGGGAAATCCCAGAATAATTCGCATTTTTCGGGATTTTTTGGGGGGAAACCTCCCGGATTTGGGGATTTTGGGCGATTCCTGAGCGTCCCTCAAAATTCTCTTTTTTGGGGGCGTTTTTCCTCTTCCCAACCCCATTCCAGAGGCAAAATCGGGCTGGAAATGCCCCAAAATCCACAATCCCAACAAATCCCCATTTCCTGCTCTGGTTTTTCCTTTTTTTCCCTTTTCCCCCCCTTTTTCTCCCCCTTTTTTTCTTCTTTTTCCCCCTTTTTTCCCCTTTTATTCTTCCTTTCCCAGGATCCAGCAATTCCAAACCTTTCAGGGAATTCTCTTCATTTGTCATTTTAAAATCGAGGAGAAAAAATGGGGGAAAATCGGAGAAATTCGGTTCCAAAGTCGGATTCAAGGAAATTCTGGGGACCATTTGGGGATTTTCCTCATTTTGGAGGAGCAGGGGAGAGACCTTTTGATGGGAATAAAATTAAATCTCGCAAAAATTGAATTAAACTGAATAAACTATAAATGTGCAGCGGTGGGGGAAAGCGGGATTAATAATTACAATTATTAAAACCCTAATAAAAATAATTATTAATAAGAATCATTATATTAATAAAATTATGTCCGTGCTGTCTGTAGGGGAAGAAAGGAGAATAAAAAAAGAGATTTTTTTTTTCCCATCTCGGGGGAAAGAAAAGAACTAAGGAATGAATAAATGAATAAATAAATGAATAAATAAATAATCAAACTAATGACATTTATCCCCAGTATTCCCTTTTCTTTTCCCCACCTCCAAAATCACCGCGATTCCACCCAAAATTCCGGCAGGAAAAGGCGCCTCCCGCCCCAGCCCGGGTATTTCCCATGGGATTTTTCCCCCAAAAATAAAAATTCCCCAAATTTCCCTCACCCAACCCCTCCCAGAGGCGACACAAAGGCTCCGAAACACCAAAATCTCGCAATATTTGGATTTTATTGGGGTTTTCCCGCAGCTCCAGGCGGACGATCAACAGCGAATTTCACGATGTTTTTTAAATTTTTTATTTATTTTTCCTTCCCTGCCGCGCTGGCAGGGGAATCCTCCGGAATTGCCCCAAATGCTGGGGTTTTCCCCCAAAAAAGTTGTTTTTTGCAGGCGGAGGCGATTGGAGAGACGGCTCTGAACCTCGTTATTCTTAATTGGGGTTAATTGGAATTCTCATCGCTGTTTTCGGCACGTCCCGCGGACACAGCACGACCCCACGCTGGCCAGAAGGGGCTTTTTTCTTCATTTTTTCCTTTTTTTCCCCTTTTTTTAATATATATTTTGAATATTTCCGGCGGGAATGGCAACGCCCGGAGGTGGAACACAGAACGACGAGCTGGCTTTTTAATCATCATTTTATTATTATTATTATTATTATTTTTGTATTTTTTCCGTACATAAAAACAGACGACGATTTTTTTTTTAATATATTTTTCCCCGATTTTTTTTTATTATTTTTTCCGCTTTTTAATTTTTTTTTAAATTTTATTTTTCATTTCCCGAGCATGAACAGATAAAAGTCAAGACAAATAGATAATAACTCTACATTCAGTGCAATTGATTCCTACACTACTTTATAAGCACAATAAAATAATAACAATACTGTGCGTTCTCAACTAGGCAGTTTCAGTTGTTGGGGTTTTTTTTTTTCTTTTTTTTTTTATTTTTATTTTTTAATCATCATCATCATCAATTAATTATTTCCAAGAAAATAAGCAGCAACAAACGACAATAAAACCGCATTACAAATACTTCCAAAGCATGACTCCTTCTATAGGTAGTGATAAGTACAATACAAGGTTGTTTTTTTTCATTTTTAATTATTATTTATCCTTAATTATTATTATTATTTATTAATTATTATTATTTTTAATTTTTTTGGCTACTTAGTAGCTTGCATCGGGGCCGCTCGCTCTCGCTCTCGTCACTTTAAATTAAATTTTCGGAGCGGATTCGAAGGTCTGGAAGCCCCCCGGTTTGCTTAATTAGGGTTGATAATTAAATTATTGCAGGTTTTCCCTTTAGGTAGTACAGGAAGAACTTCGAGTGCTCACGGACAGCGGCTGGAAAAACGGGGGAAAACGGGAAAAAAATGGGAGAAGGTGGGAAAAACGTGGGAAAATGTGGAGTAACACTGAAAAAAACATGGAGAAACACTGGGAAAACATGGAAAAACCACGGAAAGTGGGGAAAAACACGGACAAACACTGAAAAAACCATGGAGAAATGTGGGAAAACGGGGAAAAACCACGGAAAAAGCCAAGGGGAGGGAGGGGCGGCTTGGCCTGTCAGGGATTCCCAAAATTCCCGGAAAAAGGCGGATTTGGGGCTGGGGCAGGTGAGGCGCAAACCCCGCAGGGAAAGGGAGAATTCCAGGGAAAATCTGGGAAAATCTGGGAGTGAAAGGGGAAAAAAAAACCTTAAAAAGGCAAAAATCGCCCCAAAAAAGCCCAAGAAAGGCGGGACAAAGTCGAAGGTGTTTGAATAAACCCGAATTTGGGACATTCCGCTCCCTTTCCACTCCCACTCCTTGGAATTGCTCGGTTATCTCATTTTTTTGTCCTAAAATTCCATTTTTAATCCGATCCCCCCCCCCTTCTTTCGCTCTTTTATGGAATTTAAACAAGGGGGTGGATCAAGCCACAAATAAAGGAAATTAAAGTTTAAAATGTTCCCAAAAATCCCAATTTGGGTCGAGCAATGGCATTTCCCTCCCAGCCTGGATTCATCACTCTCACAATTCCATTTTTAATCCCATTTTCTTTCCCCTCCACAATTCATGGAACCAAAAAAAGAAGGAGAAAAGGGGGAAATGGGAGAAAAAAGCAGAACTGAGGGAATTTTCTCTGGCAATAAAAACCTTCGACTTTGGGACCAGCAAAATTTCACTCCCAGCCCGGGGTAATGACTCGGTTTAGCCGCAGAATTTCATTTTTAATCTGATTATTTCCTCCAATTATGAATCAAAAAAAGGGGCAAAACAGATAAAAAAAGGGAAAAAATGAGGGGAAAACAGGGAGGAAAAGAGGGGGAAAAAAGAATAAAGAAGGGTAAGAGGGATAAAAAGTGGGGAAAATTACTTAAAAAGGGGGGGGAATGATTGAAAAGGGGGAAAATATGAAAAAATGGGGAAAAGAATAAAAAAGGAAAAAATATTTTTAAAAGGGGGGAAAGGATAAAAAAGGGGGATTTGATAAAAAGGGGAGGAAAAGGATATAAAAAGGGGAAATGATTAAAAAAGGGGGGAAAGATGAAAAAAAAGGGGGGAAGAAGGAAAAAAGGGGGGGAAGGAACATAAAAGGGGAAATGGAGGGAAAAAGTGGGAAAAGGTGAAAAATGGGGAAAACAGATTTTTGAAAGGGGTAAAAAAGAGAAAAATAGAGGGAAGCAGGGGAAATGAGGGAAAAGAAAGATAAAGGGGGAAAATCAGAATAAAAAGGTAAAAAAGGAGGAAAAAAGGGGGAAAATCAGAAAAAAGGGGGAAAATTTAGGAGAAAAGGGGGAAAATTTAGGAAAAAAAGGGGAAAATGAGAATAAAAGGGTAAAAAGGGAAGAAAAAAGGGGGAATTTAGGAAGAAAAGGGGGAAAATTTAGGAAAAAAGGGGGAAATTTAGGAAAAAAGGGGAAAATTTAGGAAAAAAGGGGAAAATTTAGGAAAAAAAGGGGAAAATTTAGGAAAAAAGGGGGGAAAATTTAGGAAAAAAGGGGGAAAATTTAGGAAAAAAAGGGGAAAATTTAGGAAAAAAGGGGAAAATTTAGGAAAAAAAGGGGAAAATTTAGGAAAAAAGGGGGGAAAATTTAGGAAAAAAAGGGGAAAATTTAGGAAAAAAAGGGGAAAATTTAGGAAAAAAGGGGAAAATTTAGGAAAAAAAGGGGAAAATTTAGGAAAAAAGGGGGGAAAATTTAGGAAAAAAGGGGGAAAATTTAGGAAAAAAAGGGGAAAATTTAGGAAAAAAGGGGGGAAAATCAGAAAAAATTAGAAAGAAGCATTGAGACCCCCCGAAAGAGCAGGAATAAGCGCAGCCTCGCCGCCCATGAGGAGCGAAGCGCGCCGATGGCTGGCAGGTGGCTCCTGCTGCGGGAGCCTCTCCATCCTCAGCTCCATAAAAGCGAATGAGCGCCGTAAAGGCCGCGATCCGTCACGCGCCGCGAGGGCAGCGCGCTCAGTCCTTGCTCTCGTCCTTCTCCTCCTCCTCCTTCTCCTCTTCCTCGTTGCCTTCCTCCTCGGCCTTGTCCTCGTCGCCGCGCGCCGCGCCGGGCAGCTTGTCCTTGTTGTTCTCCTTCTTCCACTTCATGCGGCGGTTCTGGAACCAGATCTTCACCTGGCGCTCGCTCAGCCCCAGCGCGTGCGAGACCTCGATGCGCCGCTTGCGGGTCAGGTACGGGTTGAAGAGGAACTCCTTCTCCAGCTCCAGCGTCTGGTAGCGGCTGTACGTCTGGCGGCCGCTGCGCCGGCCCGGGGCTGCGGCCGGGGGAAAGGGGGGGATAAACACAGGGGTGGGAAATAGAGGTCACTCTTTAGGAAATAATAGACGGGGGTTTGGGAAATAGAGGGCATTCTTTAGGAAATAATAGACGGGGGTGGGAAATAGAGGTCACGCTTTAGGAAATAATAGACGGGGGTGGGAAATAGAGGTCACGCTTTAGGAAATAATAGACGGGGGTGGGAAATAGAGGTCACGCTTTAGGAAATAATAGACGGGGGTGGGAAATAGAGGTCACGCTTTAGGAAATAATAGACGGGGGTGGGAAATAGAGGTCACGCTTTAGGAAATAATAGACGGGGGTGGGAAATAGAGGTCACGCTTTAGGAAATAATAGACGGGGGTTTGGGAACTAGAGGTCATTCTTTAGGAAATGGACGGGGGTTTTTGGGAAATAAATGTGGTTTTTTAGGAAATATACGAGATTTTTTAGAAAATAGAGGTCATTTTTTAGGAAATAGACGTGATTTTTTTAGGAAATATACGAGATTTTTTAGGAAATAGACGGCATTTTTTAGGAAATAGACGTGATTTTTTTAGGAAATAGACGTGATTTTTTAGGAAATAGATGGGATTTTTTAGGAAATAGACGTGATTTTTTAGGAAATATACGTGATTTTTTAGGAAATATATGTGATTTTTGAGAAAAGATGGGATTTTTTGGAAAATATACGTGATTTTTTAGGAAATATACGAGATTTTTTAGGAAATAGACGGGGGGTAGGAAATAGAGGTCATTCTTTAGGAAATGGACGGGGGTTTTTGGGAAATAAATGGGATTTTTTAGGAAATAGACGGGGTTTTTTGGGAAATAGACGTGATTCTTTAGGAAATATATGTCATTTTTTAGGAAATAGAGGTCATTTTTTAGGAAATAGACGTGATTTTTTAGGAAATATACGTGATTTTTTAGAAAATAGATGTGATTTTTGAGAAAAGATGGGATTTTTTGGAAAATATACGTGATTTTTTAGAAAATAGGTGTGATTTTTTAGAAAATAGATGTGATTTTTTAGGAAATATACGAGATTTTTTAGGAAATAGATGGGATTTTTGAGAAAATAGATGTGATTTTTGAGAAAATATATGCACTTTTTTTTTAGGAAATAGACTTCATTTTTTAGGAAATAGACGTCATTTTTTAGAAAATACATGTGATTCTTTAGAAAATATACATGATTTTTTAGAAAATAGAGGTAATTTTTTAGGAAATAGACTTCATTTTTTAGGAAATAGACGTCATTTTTTAGAAAATATACATGATTTTTTAGAAAATATATGTGATTTTTGAGAAAATAGATGGGATTTTTTGGAAAATATACGTGATTTTTTAGGAAATATACGTCATTTTTTAGAAAAGAGACGTCATTTTTTAGGAAATATACGTGATTTTTTAGGAAATAGATGGGTTTTTTTAGGAAATATACATAATATACGTGATTTTTTAGGAAATAGATGGGATTTTTTAGGAAATAGATGGGATTTTTTGCCGGGGGAATGGTAATTTTTTGGGCTTGGGTTGGGTTGGGTTGGGTTGGAGGAGGTGGAGAAAAAGTCCGCGCAGCAAAGAAACAAAAAACCCACTGTGGAAAAAAAAGGGGGGGAAATAAAACAAACAAACAAACAAAAAGAAAAAACCAACAACCAAACCAAAAACAAAAAACAAACAAAAAAAAAAACCCCAAAAAAACCCAGAAAGGAAACAAAAAACCCTACAAAACAGCAATAAAAAAATCACACCAGAAATAGTAATAATAACACAAAACAGGAAAAAACCAAAAAAAAAACCAACAACCAAGCCAAAAAAAAAAAAAACCAACACCAAAAAAACCAGAAAGGAAACAAAAAACCCCTACAAAACAGCAATAAAAAAATCACACCAGAAATAGTAATAATAATACAAAACAGAAAAAAAAAACCCCAAAGAAACAACCCAGTAATAATAATAATAAAATAACCCCCAAAAAACCAGCCCCCCCAAATAACACCCCAAACCCAAAAAATAAATATAAAAACACCCAAAAAACCCAAAAAACCCCAAAGGAAAGCTCACAAGAACCCCCAAACTTCTCCCTGCGCTGTTCTGCCCCCGCCTTTCCCCGCTGGAGGGGTAAAAACCCCAACATTTCCATTTTTCACCCCTTTCCCGCCTGCTGCTCGCCCTTTTGGCCCTGTTTTAGTCCCTTTTTTCACCCATTTTTTGCCCATTTCTCGTCCCTTTCCGGCCTTTTTTTTGCCCCTTTTCACCCCTATTTCATTTACCCATTTCCCCCCCTTTTTCCAGCCCTTTCTGCCCCTTTTCCGACAATTTTTTCCCTTTTCACCCTTTTTTTGGCCCCTTTTTCTCACCCCCTTTTTAACCCCCATTTTTTGCCCCTTTACATCCCTTTTTAACCCATTTTTCCCCAATTTCCTCTTCTTTTTTTGCCTTTTTCCCCTTTTCACGCACAAAGACCTTTCCCAAAGGGGAAAAATCCCCCCAAAAATCAATTTTTCCTAGGAAAGGTGCGTTGTTCAGCAGAAAACCCTCAGCAGTCTCTTTCACCCTTATTTATTTTATTTTATTTTATTTTATTTTATTTTATTTTATTTTATTTTATTTTATTTTAATTTTTTCTCCTTTCTTTCTCTTTCTTTCTTTCTTTCTTTCTTTCTTTCTTTCTTTCTTTCTTTCTTTCTTTCTTTCTTTCTTTCTTTCTTTCTTTCTTTCTTTCTTTCTTTCTTTCTTTCTTTCTTTCTTTCTTTCTTTCTTCTTTCTTTCTCTTTCTTCATCCTTTTTCTCTTTATTTCCTTTTTCTCTTCTTTTTTTCCCTCTTTTTCTCCTTTTCCTCTCTTTTTTCCTCATTCTTTCTCTTTCCTCCCCATTTCCCTTTCTTTTCCCCTTTCTTTTTCCCTTTCCCCCTTTTATTCCCCTTTCCCCCTCTTTTTTCCCCTTTTCTTCCCCATTTCCCCTCTTTTTTCACTTTCCCCCTCATTCTTCTTCTCCCCCTTTTTATTCCCTTATTTTCTTTCCCCTTTTCCTTCCTTTTTCCCCCATTTTCTTTCCCTTTTCTTTCCCTTTTCCCCTTTTCTTCCCCATTTCCCCTCTTTTTTCACTTTCCCCCTCATTCTTCTTCTCCCCCTTTTTATTCCCTTATTTTCTTTCCCCTTTTCCTTCCATTTTCCCCCATTTTCTTTCCCTTTTCCCCCTTTCTTTCCCTTTTCCCCTTTTCTTCCTTTTTCCCCTCATTTTTCCCCTTTCCCCCCATTTTTCCTCTCCCCCTCATTCCCTTCCCTGCCCCCAACCCCCCAAAATTCCATTTTCCACACATTCACCCCAAAACACGCACAGGGAGGGGGCGGGGAGCTCCTTTTTGCCCAAAATCTCCATTTTTCTCCCAGATCCGAGGATTTTCCTCCTCGTCAGCAAAACCAGCCCGGGAGGGGCAAACACGGGGGGGAAATGTCCAAAAAAATCAAAATAAACCAGGGAAAAATTAAAATAAAACCAGCTGAGGCTGCAGCCCCTGCACTTCCTCCGGCGCTAATGAGAAAATCAATTTATTTTGGGGGAAAAAAGCGCGGATCCGGCTGCAGCTCCCTGCGGGTCAAGGCTCGGATAAATAAATAACGAGTTTTCCTCCGGCGCAGCCCCTGGGCCACGTCCTCTCGCCAGCGGCCACAATTCTTCTCTTTTTTTCCCTTTTTTGGGTTATTTTGGGTGCTTTGGATTGCTCAGTTTTCGCCCTAAAACCCCTCACATGGTTTGAGTTACCGGCAGCTGAAATTTGAATTATTTCCCTCCTTTTCCCCTCCTTTTCCAGGCTTTGTTTTATTTATTTATTTTGAATTTCCCACCTTTTTTTTTTTAATTTAATTTTTAATCCCAACCCCACAGCCCCAGGCTGAGGTTTTTTTTAATTTTAATTTTTTCCCCTCCCAGCTGCAACTTTTTCCTCCGGAGGCGTGATGAAATAATAACAATACAAACACGAAATAACAGCAATATAAATATGAGAGGACGACAAAAATAATAAAAAATTAAACGTACGTCTACATAAACACCAGGAAATCCTCCGGAGCGGGTCCCACCTCGCGGGCTGCGTCTCCCAGCGGTTAAAAAAGGGCATTTTTGACATTTTTGACATTTTTAAGAGCGCTGCTCTTATCAACATGCAAACAACCTCGTGGGAGCCGTATCTCCCTGCCAACCCTCCAGGCAAGCCATAAAAAAAGCCCTAAAAAAACCCCCAAGTTTTACTTTTAGCGCCGTCTCAGCTTTTATTTTATATTTTCTATTTCTTCCAGGGAATCCCCTCCTTTTGTTTTCTTCAAAAATATAAAAAAATATTTGAGAGGGCCGGGTTAGGGCTGAGGCTGATGTTCTATTATTGAAAAATAAATATGAAAATAAATATATTGATGAGGAAGTGGGGACGGGCGTGCTGGAGAGAGGTCGGGCTTTGGGGAGAAGAGGCCGGAATTTTGGGATAAAAGCTCGGGATTTTGGGATAAGAGGCCAGGATTTCAGGAATTTTGAGATAGAAGGTCTGAATTTGGGGATGGAAGTCTGAGTTTTGGGGTATGAGGCCGGAATTTTGCCATAAGAAGTATAAATTTTGAGATAAAAGGTCGGAATTTTGAGTTAAAAGGTCGGAATTTTGAGTTAAAAGGCCGGGATTTGGGGATAAAAAGTCTGAATTTTGGGATTAGAGGCCTGAATTTTGGGGCTAGAAGGTGGGAATTGTGCTCATCCACGGCAATCCAACATCTCCACGCACACACAGACACCCAGCGAGGCACAAACAGCCCCAAAATGCCCCAAAATCTCCCAATCCTCACCCAAAGCGAGCCAAACGAGCCCAAAGCCAACCCAAACACCCCAAACGGGGCAATTCCAACCCAAACAGCGCCAAAACCAGCCCGAAGCCAACCAAGCTCCTTTTCTTCTCCTTTCTCTTCCTTTTCCCCTCTTTTTGCTCTTTTTTCCTTCTTTTCTCCCATTTTCCCCCAGTTCCTCTCCTGTCTCCTCTCTCCTCCCTCCGTCGCCTCTCGCAGCGCCCAAAGGACCCAAACCCGACCCAAACTGCACCAAAAGAGCCCAAATCCGACCCAAACCCCAAAGCCACCCCAAACCCAACCCAAAAAGGACCCAAACCCGACCCAAAAAGCACCAAAAGAGCCCAAATCCAACCCAAACACCAAAACCACCCCAAAAGAGCCCAAATCCGACCCAAACACCAAAACCAACCCCAAACCCGACCCAAAAAGGACCCAAACCCAGCCCAAAGACCAAACCCGACCCAACCAACACCGAACTGACTCCAAGGAGCCCCAAACCCGCCCCAAACCCCCCCAAAACAAAGGACGGCATCAAAACCAGCCCCAAACCACCAAAACCAGAAACAACCCAAGCCCCCGGCCCAGAAAAGGGAAAAACCCCTCAGAATAACCCCAAAAAACTTTCAGACCCTGAAAAAACCTAAAAAACCCTAAAAACCCACTAAATGCCCTAAAAAAACCCCAACAAGATCCTTCTTCAAAATAAATAAATAAATCCGCCCAGACCCCAAACCAGCTGGAATAAAGCCCCTAAAAACCCCTCAAGAAACAGCCTCAGAACCCAAAATAACACCCAAAAAATACCCCAAAAAAACCCCAAAAAACTACACTTAAAAAACAAGTAAAAGCACCCAAAACACACCCGAAAAAACCCTCAAAAATTAAAAAAAATACAGTCTTAGAAACAAAAAAAAACCACACCTCGAAAAATAAACAAAAAACCACCCTTAAAACCCAGAGCAACACAAAAAAAAAAAAAAACACACAAAAAACCCTTCAAAACCAACACCTTTGGAAAGCAAAAAAACACAAAAAAACCCCCTCCAAAATTAACAAAAAAAAGCCCTTAAAAACCAAACCATCACCCAAAACAAAAACCTCAAAAAAGTAACAAAAAACCACTCTTCGAACTAAAAAAAAAAAACCAAAAAACCAACAACAACAAAAAAACCAGAAAACCCATCAAAAGAGTAACATAAAAATACCCCTGGAAACCAAAAGCACCACCAAAAAAATCCCCCAAAAAACATTCAAAAACCCCAAGGAAACCCAAAAGAACCCCAAAAAAACCCCAGAAAATCCATCTAAAAAGTAACAAGAAAATACCCTTGGAAACCAGAAACACCATCAAAAAAAAAAAAGAAAACCCAACAGAAAACCCATTTAAAGGTAACAAAAAAAATACCCTTGGAAACCAGAAACACTACCAAAAAAAAAAAAAACAACCCAAAACAACCCATAAAACCCGTTTAAAAAGTAAAAAAAAAAAAATACCCTTGGAAACCAGAAACACTACCAAAAAAAAAAAAAACAACCAACCCAAAACAACCCATAAAACCCATTTAAAAAGTAAAAAAAAAAAATACCCTTGGAAACCAGAAACACTAGCAAAAAAAAAAACACCCAAAAACCCCCACAGAAAATCCATCTAAAAAGTCACAAAAAATTACCCTTGGAGACAAAAAACACTACCAAAAAAAACCCAAAAAAAAGCACAGAAAATCCATCTAAAAAGTAACAAAAAAATACCCTTGGAAACCAGAAACGCTACCAAAAAACCCACAAAAAATCCATCTAAAAAGTAACAAAAAAATACCCTTGGAAACAAAAAACACTACCAAAAAACCCACAGAAAATCCATGTAAAAAGTAAGAAAAAAATACCCTTGGAAACCAGAAACGCTACCAAAAAAAACCCCAAAAAACCCACAGAAAATCCATCTAAAAAGTAACAAAAAAATACCCTTGGAAACCAGAAACGCTACCAAAAAAAACCCCCAAAAAACCCACAGAAAATCTATCTAAAAAGTAAGAAAAAAATACCCTTGGAAACCAGAAACGCTACCAAAAAAAACCCCAAAAAAACCCCGGAAAATCCATCTAAAGAGTAACAAAAAAATACCCTTGGAAACCAGAAATGCTACCAAAAAACACCCCCCAAAAAACCCACAGAAAATCCATCTAAAAAGTAAGAAAAAAATACCCTTGGAAACCAGAAACGCTACCAAAAAAAACCCCAAAAAACCCACAGAAAATCCATCTAAAAAGTAACAAAAAAATACCCTTGGAAACCAGAAACGCTACCAAAAAACCCCCCCAAAAAACAAAAAAAACCCCTATAAAAACCACAATAAAACCCCAAACCAAACCAAAAAATAATAATTAAAAAACCCCAAGCAGACAGAACGCGGTGCGGACCCGCGCGGCCCCCGCGCCCCTCACCGTGCGGCCTCATCCAGGGGAACATCAGGCTGGGCGAGGAGCTCTGGCTGAGGTGCCCCCCCTGCCCCTCGGCGCCGCCGCCGCCGCCCGAGGATTTACAGTCCGCGTAGGGCCCCGCGGGCGCGTCCTGCTGCGCGCCGTACAGCGCCTGCCGCGGCAGCGCCTCGTAGCCGTAAAACTTGGAGGCATCGCCGTGGCACGCCAGGGCGCAGGGCGCGTTCTGCTGGTAGCCCGAGGCCGCGTTGGAGATGCCCGAGGCGCCGTGGTGGAAGAAGTCCTGGACGTGGTGCGAGGGCGGCTGGAAGGCCGGCGCCGCGCCGCCCGGCCCGTAGAGCACGGCGTGGCTGCGGCCCACGCCCTGCGGGAAGCGGCAGTCGTAGTAAGTCGGCTCCAGGGACTCGCCGCCTTTGTACTTGGAGAAGAGCGGGTTGACGAAGTAGGAACTCATGACCCTCGCATGCAAAAGCGGGGGGGAAATGCGCCGGGAGAGCGGGGAGGTGCGGGGCGGGAGAGGGAAGGGTTAAAGGGGTGAGGGGGGAAAGGTTTGGGGTGCGCGGTGGGTGAGGGGGAAAGGGAGGGTTGGTTCGGGGGGAAAGTGGGGGTTGGTTCCCGGGAAAATGAGGGTTGGTTCGGGGGAAAAATGAGGGCTGAATAGGGGAAAAATTAGGTTTGGTTCAGGGGAAAATGAGGTTTGGTTTGGGGGAAAATGAGAGTTCAATCCGGGGGAAAATGAGAGTTGGTTCAGGGGAAAATGAGAGTTCAATCCGGGTTTGATTGTGGGAAAAAATCGGGTTTGATTGTGGGGAAAAATGAGGTTTAATTGTGGGGAAAAATCAGGGTTGACGCTGGGAAAAAATCAGGGTTAACTCTGAAATAAATCAGGTTTAACGCTGGAAAAAATTCAGGGTTAGCTGTGAAAAAAAATCCGGGTTAACTCCGCAAAAAAATCCGGGTTAACTCTGGTAAAAATGCCGAGTTAACTCTGCAAAAATACGCAGGTTAACGCTGGTGAAATATCAGGTCTAACTCTGAAAAAAATCCCGGTTAACTCTGATAAAGAATCCGCTTTGGTTCTGAAGAGATCCCGCTTTGATTCTCAAAAAAAAAAAAAAAAAAAAAAAAAAAAAAAGGTTGGTACAAAAAAACCCCCGCCCTATTTATTAAAAAAAAAAAAAAAATCCGGGTTAATGTCATTTAGCTCCTGCTTCAGAGTTCAGTGTTGGTTGAAAGCTAGGAGTGTTCACACCTGACAGCTTCATTTACCTTCTAGGAACAAGGACTGATTGAAAAATCATTGTTTGGTTTCAAGCTCAAGTTAATTTCTAACAGACTATGAGTGCTGCAGACCCCTGTGGAAAAAGGCAACCCAGGCTTACATTTTGCATATTTTTGTGCAGACATTTGTAGCTGTGAAATTCAAAATGTTTAAAGTTACACTTCTTTTTTTTTTTTTTTTTTTTTTTTTTTTTTTAAGATTTTTTTTTTGGAGGGTGGCCGCTGCCGGTAAATTTTTTGGTTGTTGTTGTTGTTGGTTTTTTTGGTTGTTGTTTTGTTTTTGAACCGCGCTCTCAGAGGCGTTTCATGGTGGCTCCGGGTGCCTCCGGTGCTCGGTGCTCTTGACTCCTCGCTGCTGTGTCGGTAGGTAGAGCTCTCCTCCCTCCCTCCCTCTCTCTCTCTCAATTTCTCTTGGAACTCTGCTCCTTCCCTTTAACACCACAGGCAAATTCCTCAAAATCCCGGCGGTGTGGCTTTTTTTTTTTTTTGCTCCCTTCTTTTTTTTTTTCCTTTCCTTTCCTTTTTTTTTCCCTTCCTTTTTTTTCCCTTCCTTTTTTTTCCCTTCCTTTTTTCCCTTCTTTTTTTTTCCTTTCCTTTTTTCCCTTCCTTTTTCCCGTCTTTTTTTTCCCCTTCTTTTTTTTTTTCTCTTCTTTTTCCTTCTTTTTTCCTTTTTTTCGCCCTTTTTTCTCCCCTCCTATTTTCCCCCTTTTTTCTCCCCTCTTTTTTCCCCTCTCCTTTCCCCCCTTCCTTTATTTTCCCCTCCTTTTCTTCCCCTTCTTTTTCCCCCTCCTCTTTTTTTTCTCCTTTTTCCCTTATTTTTTCTCTCATATTTTCCCCTCCTTTTCTTTTCCTCTCTTCCCCCTCCTTTTTTTTTCCTTTTTTCCCCTCTTTTCCCCCAGTTCCTCTCCTCTCTGCCCACAGCGCCCAAATGACCCCAAAATTCCGCTTTTTTCATGGGGGGGGCGGCGAATTTCCCACCGAAAAACCCCAAAATCCACAATCCGGGGGGAGGGGGCACCTGCAGACCCCAGACCCCAAAAAAGCCCCAAAAAAGCCCAAACCACCCCAAAGCCCAGCGCCCCCTTTTGCAGGCGGGCAGGGGGAGGTGACCCCGGGTCACCTGAGCAGGTAAATCCCAACCCCCCCGCACCCCAAACCCCAAACCCGGCGCTCCCGGGGTTTTTTTTTTGGGTTGTTTTTGTTGTTTTTGTTGTTTTTGTCATTCCTGGGGGGTCCCACCTGGGCGGGGAGGGGGCCCTGGGGGGGGGGGTCCTCTGTTTTTCCCTTATTTCCCAGATTTCCTCTTTTTCCCCCTGATTTTTTTTTGGCCTTTATTCCCCTTTTTCGCCCCTTTATTCCCTTTTTTTCTCCCCCTTTTCCCTATTTTTTAATTTTTCTCCCTATTTGTTTGCTTTTCCCAATTTTTCCCACCTCATTTTCCTTTTTCCTCTCCTTTTCCCCCCTCTGTTTTCTTCGATTTTCCTCCTATTTTTCTCTTCTATTTTCCTTTTATTTCCCTCTTCCTTTTCCCCTTTTCCCCTCCTTTTCTTCCTTTTTCCCCTTTTTTCCCATTCCCTCCTATTTTCCTCCTTATTCCCCTTTTCCTCATTTTTTCCTTTTCTCCCTCAGTTTTCCCCCTTTTCCCCCAAACCTTTCCCCATTTTCCCGCTATTTTTCCCATTTTCCCCCCTATTTTTCCCATTTTCTCCCTTTTCCCCCCATTTTTCTCGCTGTCCTGCTGCTGCTCGGAGTCAACCAAAAAAAAAAAAAACCACACAAAAAAACCCAAAAATGAGCGAAAATCCCGGGAATTTTCCCCCTCTGGATCGGCCGCTCCTCGCTGTCCTGGGGCGCGAATAAATCCACAAAACCGCGGGGGTTTTTCTCCGTTTTATTCCATTTATTCCCATTTTTCCTCCAAATTCCCCCCTCCTCCCTCTCCCCCCGCTCAGCCCGATCCCCTGGGGTTGCCAGGGATGGAATTCCGAGGGGATAAATTCGATTTTTGGCTGCAAAAATCCCGCTTGGGAGGCAAAGCCCGGCTGCCCTTTGTGCGCGCTGCAAAAACAAAACCAGCCCCGAGCCCACCCCGACCCTTTTCTCCCTTTTCCAGCCCCAAATCCCCATTTTTCCCATTTTCCCCCTTTTCCAGCCCATTTCTGAGCCCTCGGGCCTCGTTTTTTTGGCGGCCACCCCCTGCAACCTTTCGTGGGGACGAAACTCCTTGAAAACACGGAAATCGCCCCAAAATCCGAGGGGTTTTGTTCATTTTGGGTTTTTTTTCCAGGCTTGGGGGAGGAGAGCGTTTCCCAAAGGATTTTGTGCTGTCGAGACGCCAAAAATGCCCCAAACCCCCCCAAAATTCCATCACCCCAACCCCTCCCAAACCTTCCCCCCCTTAAAAAAAACCCCTAAATTATTTTCAGAATTGTTTAAATTCCGATTCCCACAAAACCTCCGCAGCCCCGAGGTTTTCCTGCCCAGCAAAATTCTCATTTTCGGGTTTATTTTCTGCCTTTGGGGCGGCCCCAGCCTCAGGATGGGTTAAAATTTTGAATTAAAAAAAAAAGAAAAATAATATTTTCTAAATTTTTCCACACCCCTCCCCGAGGAAAAGCACAACCCCCAGCCCACCTTGAGCCGATTTTCCCTTTTTTCCCCCCATTTTTCCCCCGGCGAGGGCGGGGGGGTTGCGCGAGCAGACAATGAACTCCTTTTCACCCAGCCTCCCAAAATTCACATTTTTAACGCGAAATTCCCATTTTCCGCCACGAAACCACCCCAAACCCTCCCGATTTGTGCAGAATTCTCCTCTCCGGTTCATTTTTCCCAAATTCCGCCGTTTTCCCCCCAAAATGAAGGAAGAGGCTCCGCAGTTCCCAGGGACAGAATTTCCCCTCCCTAATCAATAATTGCTATTTTTAAACCCCCAGCGCCGATCCAGGGGCGAAAATAAATTGGAATTTTCAGCTCAGGGTGGGGGGAAGAATTTTTTTTTTTCTTCTGGATAAAAGCGCGGATTTCCCCTCAAAAAAAAAAAAAAATCACATTTAACTTGGGGAGAAACATTGGGATTTTGGTGAAAAGAGCCCCCCCAGGGTTTCTGGGAACGAGAAAAACGCGATTCTTGCTGAAATTTTTGAGGGAATATTCCGGTTTTGGGGAGCTGCTCTTTGTCTGGGGGGCGCGGTTGGCGCTTTTGGGGGCATTTCTTGCGTTTTGGGGATTTTTCTCTCCCCCCTCCTCCCTTTTGCCCTGACCTTCACTGGAAAATGTCATTTTCTGCTTCCCCACCCCGGAGCGCGGCGGGAGACGTGAGGGGCGTAAATAAAGAGGAGGAAGGGGGGGAAATGAGGAGAAATCAGCGCCGCAGCCGCTCAGAAAAATGAGGTTTTTCAGCAGCATTTTCATTTTTTTAGGGGGGAGATTTTACACTCTCGGATGCTGGGTGCATCCCAAGGGAGAAAGCGGGGGAAAAAAATTAAAAAACGCGGTTTAAAATTAAATCAATTTATGTAAAAAATTTGGCGGGGTGGGGGAGGGGCCCCGCGCCAACCCTGGGCCGACAGCGCCACCTCGCGGCCGCGGCCGCGCAGCGCGGGGGGCCGGGGGGGCCCCGGGGAGCGATTTGGGTTCAAAACCCCGGTTTTGACACTTTCCCCCGCTCGCCTCGCGCCTTCCTTTCCCCGATTTTCACCCTTTTCTCCCTTTTTTTCCGCCTTTTTCTTTTTCTCCCTTTCTGTCCTTTCTCCCGTTTCCCCTTTTTCCTTTTTTCCCCTTCCATTCCTCCTTTTCCTTCCATTCCTCCTTTTCCTTCCATTCCTCCTTTTCTCCTCCTTTCCCCTTTTTCCTCCTCATTTCCCCTTTTCCTCCTCATTTCCCCATTTCCCCTTTTCTCTCATTTCTCATTTTCCCCCTCATTTCCCCCTTTCCCCTCCTTTTTTCCTCTCAATCCCCCTTTCCCCCCTGTTCTTTTTTCCCCTCCAATTCTCCCTTTCTCGCCTATTTTTTATGCCTTTTTCCCCCCTTTTTCTCCCATTTTTCCCCTCAAATCCCCCCTTTCTCCCCTATTCTTTTTCCCCTCAAATCCTCTCTTTCTCCCCTATCCTTTTTTTCCCTTTTTCCCTCAAATCCTCTCTTTCTCCCCTATCCTTTTTCTCCCTTTTTCCCCTCAAATCCCCTTTTCTTTCCCCCTCATTTCCCCCTTTCCCCTCCTTTTTTCCTCTCAATCCCCCTTTCCCCCCTGTTCTTTTTTCCCCTCCAATTCTCCCTTTCTCGCCTATTTTTTATGCCTTTTTCCCCCCTTTTTCTCCCATTTTTCCCCTCAAATCCCCCCTTTCTCCCCTATTCTTTTTCCCCTCAAATCCTCTCTTTCTCCCCTATCCTTTTTTTCCCTTTTTCCCTCAAATCCTCTCTTTCTCCCCTATTCTTTTTCCCCCCAAATCCTCTCTTTCTCCCCTATTCTTTTTCTCCCTTTTCCCCCTCAAATCCCCTTTTTCCCCCAACCCCTTTCCCTCCCCAAAACCCCCTCCTTCCCACCCATTTTTCCTTCCACTCCGGCTCTGATTTTCCCTTTTTTTTCCCCCTTTTTTCCCCCCCTCCCCTCCGGGGCCCGAGGGGGGTCTGTTGTTTGTAGCTTGTAGACAAAACATTCCAAAAATCGGGTTTCAAAGGGCAGAGCGCGCACCTTATTTACCCCATAAAGCAATTAAGGCCAGACGTCTAGCCACGGCCGGCCCGGTTTTGTTCGCCCCTATTCAGCCCCGCATAGCAGGGAGACAAACAGAGCTGTAAAAATCGCATTTTTTTGGGGGCTGCGGAAATGCACCTCTGGCCAGCTGCAGCCTCCCGGGCCCTTTTTTTGTGTCCTTCACAAAGGGGGGAAAAAAAAAAAAAAAAAAAAATAAGACACAGACACACAGGCACACACACACACACACACCAAAAAATAAAATTTAAAAATAAAAATTACAACAGCTCCGACGCGCCCCAAAGCCACCCCCCCAAAAAATATTTGTATTTATAATATTTGGTGTGAAAAAATAAAACCACCACACGGCCCAAAAGCACGCTAAAAAACGCGTTGTATTTTTAATTTTTGGGGGGTTTTTTTTTGTCCTTTTTCTCCCCTTCTCTCTGCTCCAAAAATGAAAATCTCACCTTGGGCTCGGGGGGAAACCTTGGGGTTTTTGTGCCTGCCCCTCCCGGCTTTCGGGGGCTGGGAAAAGCGCGATTCCCGCCGCGTTTTGGGGGCGTTTGGCGGCGTTTGGGGTGCGGGGCGGCTGCGGCTCGCACAAAGGCTCCATCAGTATGCGGCGGCACACGCGCGCCAGATGTCGGGCAAAAACCCCAAATCGCCGCTTTTTGAGGCAGCCGCGGCCGCCGGAGCGCGGCCCCGCCGGGCGGCGGTTTGGAGCCGCGACTGTCATTGATTCCCTCCCACCGCCGCGCCGCCCCGGCCCCGTTTTGGGCCGGTTTCTGGGCTTTTCGGGGCAGGAGCGGCCGGGCAGGGCCGCGGGGGCCCGAGGAGCGGGGGGCGCGGGGGCGCGCGCGGGGC